GGCGGGGGGGGGGGAGTCTGTTTCATGGCGAGAAGGGCGGCAAGGTCGCAAGGTGAAAAAGGAGCAATAAGAAGGTGAAGTGGGATGTGTGGACTGCGGTTCTGAAATTGCGAAAGACAGGCCTGTGCGTGGATGCACCTGCTGGGTGCGGCCGGCTGTCCCATTCTGTTTTGCCTTTTTTCAACATGGGGTGATCTCGGTGTGTTTGTCGGGATCTGGTGAGCCAGTGGAGGACAATCGAAGCGATGAGGGGCGGTGACGAAGGAGTCCTGGGGGAGGCAAGAGGGGATGGGATCAGGGGGAGAAGGGCAGTTTGCTTTGGAAGAGAGAACGCACACTCCGTCGTGTGAGGCTGAAGGGGTTGGTGGAGGGGCGGGAGGGAAATCTGGAGCTGAGACGGAATTAAAGGCAGTCGGCTTCTATCAGGTTATCCACGGGTCCAGCCTTCTGAGCGAAGTCAGCATCAGTCATTCGTGTGGATGAGGGAGGAAGGAGAGAATGGAAAGGATTTGCGGGAGCTGTTGTGGGGAATGGACAGAGGATCAAAAAGACATAAGTAGCAAACGTTGCTAACCATCATTAAGCGGCACCACTTAGCGAGCGTGGGTTCCAGTGGCCAGGTGTCAGTACGTGCCAGGCGAAGACCAGTGAGATGGTGCCCTCAGAGCTCACAGCAGAGTCGGAGACAGGTGACGGAGCACAGCGACAAGTCGCCTGGGGAAGTGTGGAGCAGGCTCTGTCAGAGCGAGGGGAGTGACCCCAAAGTCAGACTTGAGGAGGAACACTGGGGAAGCGGGAACGTGTGTGAATGGCCGGAAGGGCGTCTTGGGGTCGGTGATAGCTCAGCCGAGCCCCGAGAGGGGAGTGGGCCACCTCTGGAAGGTGGGAAAGTCAGGAGTAAACAAAGCATTTTCAGGATGGCAAGTACCAGAACCAAAAGCTTTTGGGGCGAGAGCGAGGCAGAGGTGCTCAGTTCTCCCCGCTTCAGAAGCCTAGGTGCTTCCAGTGCAGAAGCCAGGGCCCCATGCTCAGCTGACCGAACCATGCTCTGGGCCGGGTCCAGAAATCTGCATTTTTAATAGGCTCTCCAGGATACATTAGGGTAACATTTATTGACTACTTACCTGTGCCCATTGCTATTCTCATTGTTCCCTTGGGCTGTCACATTTAATCTTAGTAACCTGTGAGATAGGGTGAGGAAGGTAGGACATGGAGAAGTCATTTGCCCAAAGTCACATAGCCAGTGAGAGTGGGCTGGGCCTCCAGCGCTGGCCAGGAGCACTGCTTGTTTGGGGATCCGCTGGTAGTTTATTTTGGCTACACACCTGGGACTAAGAGGTTAGGCACTCCTTACTACCGCCGTTACTACCACTAGTAACGTTACTACCATTCCTTACTACTGCTGTTACTACCACTAGTAACGTTACTACCATTCCTTACTACTGCCGTTACTACCACTAAGGGAAGTAGGGGCTAACGTTAAAAAGCTTAGGTTTTGGTTTTGTGGTTTAGTGATGCTTATGCACTGAGAATGAGAGCAGATAAAGCAGGTAGTGGCCTCTCAGGTTTTTAGCATCCCAGACTGCCACGTTGCCTCCGTAGTCTCCTCCCAGCCTGATTGCATTTCTCCCTCGCCAGGCGCACCTCGGAGCTGGGGCAGGCTCGGTCCCAGGCCACTGCGGTAAAGCGAGTATCTCAGTAAAGCACGTGGCCATCTCTTTGCTGGTGGGGGTCATGCCTCCAGTTTGTAAAAACAGAACATCTGTGAAACACAGTAAAGTGGGGTGTGCCTGTGTTCCTCCATAAATCATCTCTTACTAGACGAAGCTCAGAACCCATGTCTTATCTGTGTATTCAGTGTCTAGCTCAAGCTGTTTCCTTTAGTCGTATGTCCTGTACGTGTGTGTGTGTGTGTGTGTGTGTTTCCTTCCCTGGAATTGAGTGTCATGAGGGTGGGGACCTGACGTATTTTGATCATTGTTTTAGCCCTAGAACTGGCCAGTCTATAAATAGACGTCGCATGATGAAACTTTCTGTACCCTCGATGCCTCCCTGTCTCATTCCCAGCCCTGTCAGGGTTCTTGAAAGGGCCCACGAGGCCCTAGGTGACTCTCTGCTCACCCTCCCACCCCACCCTCCGCCCCCATCACGTCTTGCCTCTCACCTGGCCTCACCACACTGCTGCTCGCTGGTGTTTCCACCCAGGTACCCACGGCCCCTGGCCTCACCCCCTTCAGTCTCTGCTACAGTAGTGCCTTAGCCGAGCGGCCGGGCGGGCCGGCGAGTGGGCTCGCTGCTTTGTGATGCCGCCTCTGTGGTTGTCTGGTGGTGGTAGTTCATTTTGACTTGTTTCTTATCTCCCCAGATAGGCTTTCTTCAGTGCCCCATATACAAGTATCAATAAATATTGATTTGCTCTTTTCCAGTTGGCTTTTTGCTAACCTCATAAGTGTTGATATATGTGTGTGTTTTCAATGAAGTATTCCCAAGTAGAAACAAAAAAGCGCATGGTCGTGTTCCATGTTTGCACTGTCAGATGTGGTGACTAAGTATAAATGAAGTCATTAAGTTAAATGTCCAGTTCCTCGCTCACACTAGCCACGTCCCACGTGCTCAGTGGCCCCTGCATTGAACAGTGTCCCTGTGGGACGCTTCGCCACCGCAGATGGTTCCGTCAGCAGCATGAGGTTCGTTCATCTGTCTTTTAAACTGTCGTGCCACAGAATCACGGCCGTAAACTACACATCAGCCAGCAGGTGTCGGTGCCGTTCGGTTTCCAGTCATGCTGCTGAGTGTCACCGTTTGTCCACATTCTTCGCCACAGGTCCCCTGAGTGGTCGAGCATGGACCCAGTCGCTACGCACAGCTGCCACCTCCTCCAGCAGCTGCACGAGCAGCGCATTCAAGGCCTGCTTTGTGACTGTATGTTGGTGGTGAAAGGCGTCTGCTTTAAAGCACATAAGAATGTTCTAGCAGCATTCAGTCAGTATTTTAGGTACGTATTTTAGACTTTCTTCTTCTAATTTTACGGAGAGAAAGCTCTTCTAGCATGGAAATGTTTTGACTAAATTTTATTTTCTCCACAAATTTCACTCTTGTTCTGTAGCGCATTGTGGGATTTTTGCTTTTGTATTTACGGTAATCTGAGTGGAAAAGAGCCTTTTAACTAAAATACATTTGGGGCAATGGAAAGAATTTTGATACTTTGATTATACTCATTCTAATTAATGTCTGTCCTCTCTATATATTTCTTATTCTTTTAGGATAAAAAGATTGAGGAATAAAATTCCTGGTAAGAACGTCTCTGTAATAAATCAGAGAGGGGAAGCGTCTTATATGCTACTTTGTGTTTTCTTTAAACATTTTAGTTTTTGTTTCTCCTTTGGCTCTTCCAAGGAAACAGATTTGAACTCAGTGTACTTTTCCCCATCATCATGTTTGCCTGCGTGAAAGATTTATTTACAAATAGTAATATCATGAATAGTACTTCTGTTATTTTATCATTAGAGGTAAGTGTTCTACATGCATTTTCTGATGAGCAGGATTTCTCTCTCTCTCCAGCTGTGCAGCTTCCTCTTTTTAGTACCGTTTTCCCCTCCTGAAATGCGTACTGTTTTCCCGCTCCAGTGAGCACTGCCCGGAACAGGGTCTGCTCTTTCCCGGATGGTCCCGGCTCACCGGGCTCCATCCCAGCCTCTGCACAGGCCGCCAGCACACGCTGTGCCAGCTCAGCTCGCGAAGGCTGGCGACACCGCTGTCTGTGTGCACAGTGGTCCACACTCGGGCGTGGCCTACTGCTTCTGTCTTCCCAGGGCAGCGGGCTTGGCTCTTGTGATACCTTGGCCGTTTTGAGTTTTCCCCACCCCACTTCTAGTTTGTACTTTCCTGGAGAAAGAACAGAACTAAAGTCTGTTTTGGGGAAGCAGGTGACTACATCTGATGAAATGTCCTCGACAAACCTGCAAGACAACTTCCCTCCCTCAGCTTGGTGTTTTTGCAGAGTACAGACTCCTCCACCTATGAATCTGACGTGTGCCCAGAGTAAAGTGTGTGGCCTTTCTGGTGCCTTTTTTCCTTCATTAACTCATAGGGCTTTTCTCACTGCTGATTTATGGGCCGTTGGGTTGCTGAAAAACAACCTCGGACAGCTAGATAAATTACTGGTTACAAAATGAGTGTGTATCAGGTCCCTAGAGTACTCACATTCATAGAGACAGACTGGGATGGTGGCCGCCAGGGGGCGGACCGGGGCTGGGGGGGGCACGGGTGGGTGGGGGTCACTGTTGAATGCGGACAGAGTTTCTGTTTGGGATGATGAAAAGTTCTGAAAATGGACAGTGGTGACGGTCGCACAAGAAGGAGAATGTACTTAATGCCACCGAATTTACCATTCAGTTAAGTGTTTAACATTATATTTTACCACAATTAAAAAATTAAAATGAGTGTATTATCAAGGATTGGTTTATGATAGCTATTTTTATTTTTAGACTTTTTTAAGGCACTTCAAAATGGAAATATCTTTGTGTTTTATGGCCTGAAATCTATAATTTGTCAGACTAAATATGAATACTGAACCATGTGTCCTTTAGTTTTCTAAATGTAAATGCAATTAATAATATGTATGAGTAATTACATTTTAACAAAGCAATGAATATGTTTTAAAATTTTACTTTGAGAATTACTTGGAAGTTTAGATATTCAACACTAATTCATCTGAATTGTTTTATCGAGTGGCTTGCCAAATTTTTTAAAGGATTAGAGCATATTTAACACCTTGGCATTTATTAATGATAGTTATAGCATTCGTAAGAAAAAGTAGTTGGCACGTGTGAATCGTTAGCATCTTCTCTTTCCCAGGAGCCTCTTTCAGAACTCGTCAGGCCAGAAGACTGACGTCTTCCACTTGGATATTAAAAACGTGAGCGGCATCGGGCAGATCCTGGACTTTATGTACACGTCCCGTCTGGATCTCAGCCAGGACAACGTGCAAGTGATGCTGGACATCGCACAGTGTCTGCAGGTTCAGAACGTTCTGAATCTGTGCCATGCCTTTTTAAAGTCGGCCGCCGCGGACCAGCCACCCGGCACGCCTTGTAACAGCACATTCCCCCTGCAGAGCGCCCTGGCTCCTGACGCTGACTGTGTCATAACTGAAAACTGCTCTCCGCACTTACTGCAGGAGTGTCCGGCCGGTGTTCAGCACGGTAAAGTCTTGGGGGAGTCACACCGTCAGGCGCCACCGTCAGTTAACGTCCACCACCCTACAGGCGAAACAGCAAAACAAGCCACCAACCCCGTAGACGGCAGCTGCGCAGACCTGCCTTGCAGACAGCCAAACTACTACTACAAACTCAGAAACCTGTACAGTAAGCAGTACTGTAAGCAGGCCACACGTCCGGGTCCCGAGAGGAGGCTTGAGCAGCCTTTCGCGCTCGGCACGCCCGCGGACCCCGCCGCCGTGGGAAAGCAGCCTTGCGCCGTCGGTCGATCTGAGTGTGCCCCGGACCCCGAGTCACACAGCCTGTGCCAACCACCCGCCAAACAGATGAGGCTCAAGAAGGCCATTCACCTGAAGAAGCTCAATTTCCTGAAGTCACAGAAATCTGCAGAGCAGACGTCGGAAACCAAGCCGGATGACGGCTTAACAAAGAGGACTGAACCTGCCGGCGAAAACACTGTCGAGAAAGCTGGCAGCCCGAGAGCCGAAGAAAAAGAAAGTGAAGACTTTGTCAGTTCCGAGAATTTTAATTGCATTAGTGAGACGGAGAGGCCCGAAGACCCTGTGGCACTAGAAGACCGGTCCCCGACGCTTCAGTCACAGAAACAATATGCGTGCGAATTGTGCGGGAAACCTTTTAAACACCCGAGCAACCTGGAGCTTCACAAACGGTCTCATACAGGTACACTGATTCAGTACCCGCAGGCAGAAGGAGAGGAAATAATGCAGACGGTCCGACGCTCCTGCCTGCTCCTGTTTTTGTAAGAAGTTTTGCCATCGCTTCATGATGTATGTCATTGATATTTACCAAAAAAAAAAAAATCAAGGTGCATTAGCGACTTTTTATTTTATATTTTTGGTGATGCTGCTTAATCATTTCAAAGTTCTAGAAATGCTTTTATGGAGCCAATTTAGAAAGATGTCACCCTTTTCTTTTTTACTCTAATTATGGACTTACATGATGAACTTTCCATCTCTAAAGAAGTATAGTAAATTATTTTGCTGCATTGAAAATTTCAAATTAATTCTAAAACAGATAAGCTGTATTCAGTTGTCTTTTTAGAATTAGATTGAGTGTCTTCTTTCAAAGCATAATGTAGGGTAATTTGAGTAATTCGAAAAGTTCTCTGGAAAGTAATTTGAATATCAGATTTTAAAAATTGATTTGAGAAGTAAGCTTTTTAATAAAGATTAGCTTTAACCATTTGATATTTTCAAATGAAAATGCTTCCATTTTGAACATTGAATTTTCAGAGTTTTATTACCTTAATTTGTACCTCCTCCCATTTAAAGAAAGTTCCTTTTTTTTCCGGAAGCTTTTTAAAAAGTATTATGCACTACATATGTTTTGTTATACAATATTTATATGTTACATATTACACAATTACTTACACAGTTCTTACATGTTACTTTCTTTCCTGCACTTAAACAAGATGCCTCTAATACACATTATGACTGAATGGCAGTTGTCTTATAGACATGAGAAGCGGTGTGCTGCACGATGCTTCCAAAATAACCGCTTTGAAAGTGCTCGTGTAACTGCAGTTACGGCTGTGACGTCTATTATCACTTTGATTCCTAGTTTGCCTAGGTGTTTACCATCCACACTCATTGTTAAGATGACTAAATGTTTATGAAAGCCCTCGATAAACTATAATGTATTTGAATATAAAGTGCTCTCATTATTATTACTAGTAGTTCAGAATTACTCCATATGGAGGCAGTATCATCGACTCAGTTTTGCCTTGAAAAAAACTTAATTTAGGTCATTCTGCTTGCTTAAATCTCTTAGAGCCTAATGACCACTATCACTTTTATTTGAGAAAGTTATCTGTTGAGCTTTAAAGCTCTTTCGGGTCCTCTGTTAAGGGGCTGAGGGGTCCTGAGAGCAAACAGATCGAGAGCCACTGGAGCAGGGCTGTTAACTTCAGCCACCTGTGAGCCTCGTAGCTGGTGACCTCTGTTTTCAAGCTCTCATATTTCATAATGGGGGCTTCAACTTACATTCTCATTATCCTGATGGTTTCAGACGTAAACATTGTCCCAAAATACAGAATTAATATGCTCATAACTATTCAGAGCCAAAAGCTTCCCGCCCACCCCATCCTTGAGGAAGCCATTAAACAGTTTCAGGAAAAGATCAAAATAAAAGTGTCCTGGCAGGAGCCCAGAAAGCTCGCAAGCCCCAGCAGTACAGGACGAAGGGAAACATGGTGTTGCTTTTTAAAGAGAATCTTAACAAAGCCACTCGTGTGAGGTAATGGGAGAATGGAACCCTTGGTCTTCCGTGAGTCTGTGTACTGGAGTTGTCTGTATTAAAGGCGGTGCCTCGACGTATACTTTTAAAGTATCATTTTCTAGAGACCATAATCAGGCCGCCATGGCTTCTTTGTAGTAGAGTTCCATTCTCTGCAGCCTAGTCTGTACTCAGACGTCATTGTTCAGTTCCTAAAGGCAGAGGTGGCTAAGAAGCCAGCAGGGGACACATCTCCCAGCACGACACCTGTTTCTCGTTGGCATGTTCAGCCGAGGCTGAGAGGGAGGGGAAGGGGGCCCCACGCTGTTGGGGGCTGGCCCTGTTCACAGCTGGTGGGTGCGAATGGGCCCTGGCCCAGTGCAGGAGTGGGCGGAAGGACAGGCGAGCAAGTTTGTGCCGTTTAGCACAAAAACTCACATTTGATTTTCAACCAAACAGACTGTTCAAAACCCGGGGAGGGTCTGAATGCAGCTAAATAAGTTTGACTTCAACATTTATATTCGGAGAACAATTTGATTTTTTGGAAAAAAGTAACTAGATTTCAGTTTGATCATCTCCGCCTGTCATGTAAGGGTGACGGTGACGATGACGAGGATGTGGAGTCCCCGTGCCCGCGCCCCTACGATGAACGCAATGCTCTGCTGGGAATGGTGGACACAGGAGATGGTGTAAACACTGTAAACAATTACTGTGCAAGTAATAAGAATGATTTTACAAGTCGTTTTGTTTTGTTTTAGGTGAGAAACCTTTTGAATGTAACATTTGTGGGAAACATTTCTCTCAGGTGGGAATACTCTTATTTATTGTTAATAATTGGAAACCTGAAACCCAGTGTTGATTCTTATGACAAATAAGACAGTTTTGGCGTCGTGAGAGAGGCCTCTGAGGATATGTGTAACTTAAAAGACTTCAGACTAGATCAGGAGAAAACGATTTTCAAGAAAACAAATTTCTAGTTTATTGGAAAAAAATACCATTTTTAAGAAGCACGTGCGCTCTCACAGTTAACTGCCCGCAGGACAGGTCCCATCCTGGCATCTTCTCTTCCATGAATGAAGCGGACCGTTTGAACGTGCTCCGGAGGCTGCTCGTGATGCGGGGCTGCATCCGAGGCAAACGTCTCTTACTCTAGGTGGGGCCGTAGATGTTAGGCCGTCGGAAAACAGACCAAACAACATTCATTTCCCGCTCTTACTGTCATTTAGCGGCCGACGGGTACCGACCCTCTCATCCAGCCAGTGTTTGTCCCCTGCTGTGGGCTGTCCGCTGATCTGGGCGCTAGGCCTAGAGGAGCCTGGGGAGTTAATGTTTCAGAGGAAGTTCTGAACAGAGGTTTGTGGGAACCTACTTTTCCCTCTGACACAGAAGGTGACCGGTCACCTGCCCTGGGCGGGGCCCCGGCACTCCAGGAGTAGACAGGACAGAAGCTGGTCGCGGGGCAGGCGCACAGTCCTGCAAGGAACCGGTCACCATCCAGGCGCTTACACAACACGGTGGAGTCCGGAGCGGCGGACCCGTGCCAATGCTGTCTCGCTGGGGCAGGGCCTTTCGGGCCAGGCCCAGATCAGGAGTAGGGACCTGGGGTCTGCCGAGAGCGGGAGCCGGGCTCCGCTGAGCACAGAGCAGCGCCGTCTCGGGCGTGTTCCCGCAGAGCCGCCGCCTTCATTCCCGGCATCCAGACCCGCAGCCCTAATGGCTTTCACCCGTCCCGCGCCCTGCCGCATACTCACCACGTTTTGTCAGTGTGGGCGGGGGCCATGCCTGACTCCACATCCAGGGGACCGCCTAGCAGCTCTGAGCGGTCAGCAGGGCGACGCTGAGCGAGCTGGGCATCCGTCTAGCTGGCAGTCTACGGCATGCCAGCTTAGCTGGCCTCAGAGCCAGACCGTTTGGTTTGAGCCTGCCTCTGGCTTATATTCTGTGACCTTGGCAAACGACCTAACCTCTTGGCACTTCAGCCTCCTTATCTTAAAACAAGGATGTCAAGATGGTTGATGGAGTAGAGTGTGTGAGATTAAGTACTTGTAAATGAGCCTCAGGAAGCGTGACCTCCTCGCCTGTTGCGGGCACCTCCTTTGTCCCCTCGGGCTCTGCTCCTGCAGGCCTGTGTTCCACCCGCACCCCCAGCACACTCACTGTTTTAGTCTTTTGTGATGTGGGATTAAATGAAAAACGGACCAGAAAGCCCAGTATACATGTGAACTGAGGTGACGATTTACATTCTGTCCCCTGCTCGGAGCCCTTCTGTGCTCTTCATCGCTAACCCAGGGACGTGAAACCAGATGCCTGAGCGTCTGGCCGCCTTCGGCCTCTTCCCCGCACTGCCCCCGGGCCCACCCTCGGGGATTCTGGCCGTGGGTTTGGGGGTGTCGGGGGGGGGCGTTTTTAGTATGGCATTTTTTGCCGTGCAGCTGAGGTCGGGGACTAGGGCTTCAGACCCCGCCCTGCATTCTCCCTGAGTCGCCCATGGCCCCCTGTCTGACAGACACTATGGAAACCCTCCTCCTTCAGTGTCTGGTTTTCGTCAGATTTTTATGAATATAAAGTTGTGTGTCATGGTTTTCAGATGTATATTGCTGTCTTATTTCATAGTGAAATCGTAAAATTTTTGTGAGCCAAGACTCAAAAAACTCATTCAGTATGTGTTTGTTGCAAGCCCACAGTGTCCAAGGGGCTCTGCCATGTGCTGGGGGACAAAGATGAATAAGGCTTTGAGGAGCCTAATGTTTAGAGGAGGAAATGGTCCTATAAACAATAAAGTACAACAAAATGTTGTACCGTGATGGAAACATGTCCAGGGGACAGTATGGGCAAGAGCGAGAGTAGTCATTTCTGCGGGAAAGGGGTGTTCGGGATGTGGATATGAATGGAGTAAGAGATTGCTCAGGGGAGCCCCGAAGACAGGTGCGCGTTGGCTACACCTGGAAGTAGGTAGGCAGGGAGAGCAGCCATCTCATTACGTAACAGAGATAACTCAGTCACGCCCACCTACCCTTCACCTGCCGACATCCCTCATGGGGAACTGGAGTAAGTGTTTGTGGTGCCTGGATCCGAGTGCTCTCTGTAGATGCCAGAGTGTTCAGTGGAAGTGAGTTTGTAAATATTTTCCCTTCTGGGAAATTCAAAGGTTTGAAAACAGTTTTATCAATAAGAATTGGTCTTTTATGCTGTTTGCTCAATTTAGTATTTAATGCAATTAGTCTTTTAAACAAGTTAACCACAACCTTAATAATCAATCGGAAGGCAGAATGGGACATCGACTCTAAATAACTACTATCATCCTAGATCGCGACCACAGAATATACGTGGATTAATATAATTTCAAACATCATCTGCCCAGATCTCAGGAAGTAAGAGTCATGCCGTACTTTAGAGCGGTGGCCCCCAACCTTGGTGGCAGCAGGGGCCGGTGATCCTATGAGAATCTGAAGCCTGAGGATCGCCACTTACCTCCTGCTGTGCGTGCGGGGGGAGCGGGGGGTGTGCTTTTTATAATACTTATTAGACTAATATGGTCCCTTTATCTGGGGAAAAGTTAATTATTTTCATTATACATTTCCACTATTAACTAAGGAAACATTAAAAAATTATTTACATATCGCTTATTATAATATCGAATGGAAGACTATTTGTATTTGCTTGGGAAACTAATTGTTACACTTAAAAAGGAAAAACGCAGCTTTGTTAAGAAAATTCAAAGACTGAATTTCAATGATAATACATAGTTTACAAAATAGCTCAAAATGAGGGCTCTCATTGAGCAGATGGTGCTGTTGGAATCGTTAAATAACTGATGACCTTTTCTGAAATTTGGAAGCGGCCGATTTGAAACAGTCAGGGCTGCATTATCTTAACTCCAGGGAGCGTTTCCGGAATGGCGGAGAGACCGTTTGTCACGCGGAGTGTGCGGAGTGTTCCGCACGAGCTCGTGTATTCACAGAAACGTGCATGCGCTCAGGCCTCCCCTCTCGTAGGTCAGCCTCACTCAGACCAAAATTAATTTCTGGCCTGGCCCTATTCCTGGAGCCACCACTTTACCTGAACCTGTTTTTCTCCTAGAAAGTGGAGATGGTAATACCAGTTGCTAAGGGTAACTTGGTAATGTGTGTAAAGGCCTGGGGAGACCAGACCTGTATTGCTATTGGCATTTGTTACTTTATTATTGTTATTCATAGCCATTCTATTAAAAGCTGAGTATTTCCCAATATTTTGCCAACTTCTTTCTCTTTGGTTATCTAAACTAAACCTGAGTTTTTTTCTAAGCCACGTTTGTCATATTCTAAAAGGTAGAATCTAATGCAGTGTTTCCCGGAGTCCAATAGACACGAAGACTCACCCATGTTCTATAGCATAAAACACCTGTACATTTCCACTTCACACCCATCTTCAAACCTACAACCATGAACTACTTTTGCATTTTATTTTAGACATTCGCAGGTTTACAAAGCCAAGTTTATTACTTGGGTATTACTGTTTGTTCTCCCTTTTTGGCTTATTTTGTGCGTATTGCCTGTGTATCATTAGTCTTGGGGTATTTGCTCATTTCAGGGTTTTTTTTTTGACAGATACTCTGAAAAATTGAGTATGGGGAATGACAGTTTGGGACTATTAATTTACAGCAACGGAAGCTTTTGTTTCCAAAGCCTAATCTGAAGCATTGGACGGGAGCTTTTTTAATGCCTGAGGCATTTGCAGTCTGTTTCACTGTACTTTAGGCAATTTAATATCAACTTCCTATTAGTACACGGAAGTCGGTTTTATGATCTCCATTTAAATCAGTTATTCTTTATGTCACAAATTGGGACATAAAGGCCCTGCAATGGAGTGACTGCTGTGACTCTCCTGATTTGCATTTGTGCACAAGCCTGGCAGGCAGACTGGCTGTACCGCCAGAGAACATACCGTTTGGAAACGTCTTACCTTCTATATGAACAAAAGTGTGTTTTTCAGGAAGAAACAATATGAAATAACCACGTGCAAGTGCTATTTTTTTTTTTCAAACGATGCTTCCATATAGAGGGTTGAAGTTAAGAAATATATAAAATAATACATCAGGATCTGTTTAACATACAAGCTTAGTGGCCACCACAGCAGCCTGCACAGTGTGTCGGCCGTGTCAGCAGCGGCACAGGGCCCGCCTGAGACGGGACAGGCCAGGGGCTCAGGTGCGGCCCTCTGCTCCGAGCAGACTTGAGACGCTGGGCGGGGGCCCCTTGCCAGGTAGAATTGGGCCTTGACCTCCTTACACGCACCTGGCTCCCTTGGAGTTGTCTTCACTGGGAAGTTGGACTGGGAACCTGGCTAAATCTGTCGGTTTTCCGTTTGAATGTAAATAACTTTTTTTAAAAAAGCACACCTTCCGTCATTGACGTGCTTTTTCTTCTGCTTTCCTTGCAGGCGGGTAACCTGCAGACTCACTTACGTCGGCATTCTGGTGAAAAACCGTACATCTGCGAGATCTGCGGAAAGAGGTCAGTGCTGGGCCGGGGCGTCGTCCCCGGGGAGCGGCTCGTGCTCGGCTCCCTTGGAAAAGCAGGGTTGTCTGCGGCTGTGGCTCCGCACAGGCCGCATGGAGGCTCGCTCTACCCGAGGAGCACCGGCCGAGCCCTGCCCCCCGCGGGGCCTGTCCTGTGACTCGTGAGACTAACTAAAAGAAAAGGACATTAATTATAAGAAACAGAATCTAGGACAGGAAGGGGATTTTTCACGAAACAAAATTATCTTATACTAAAATTTCCATTCTTTCCAAAAATGGCTATTAAAATAGATGAATGCCCCACGGAGGTGCCTGTCAGTGGAGAAAGTGAGCCTCGCAGCCTGAGTGCGCAGACTTCAGCATGAGACTAACTAAAAGAAAAGGACATTAATTATAAGAAACAGAATCTAGGACAGGAAGGGGATTTTTCACGAAACAAAATTATCTTATACTAAAATTTCCATTCTTTCCAAAAATGGCTATTAAAATAGATGAATGCCCCACGGAGGTGCCTGTCAGTGGAGAAAGTGAGCCTCGCAGCCTGAGTGCGCAGACTTCAGCAGAGGGGGGCAGAAAGTGCCCCAGCCCTGCACCCACATGGGGCTGTGGGCGTCAGCAGCAGGAGGACAGGGCCAAGCCCGAGGGCTCTGTAGGGTTTGGACGTGGGAAGTAGGAATCGGCTTGGTGGCAGTCTTCTGGAGGTGGGACGCAGCGTGAGGACATCGTCCCTCCTCCGCGCAGCAGGCCCGCCCCGTTTCCCCTCCCCCCCCACTGGGATCATTCACCGGGAGCCCAGCTACTCTGCTTACTTACCTGTCGTTCATTCACCGTGTATCAGACACCTACGACTGTGTGCTCGGGGCTGTGATGGGAACATAAACATTAACAGTGTAAATCCTCTGCCTCGGAAACGTTTATATTCGAGTCTAGGGGAGAGATGGCCACAGAGACAGTCAGCGTTCTCTGATGCAGGACGCCACACGTGCTCTGGGAACACCAGGGGGAGGAGCCAGTTTCGATTCAGTTCCAAGAAAACAGTTGTCTGCAGATGGTAGGAAAAAAAAGAAAGAAAAGCGACCCAGCTTAGCGTGCCTCCCTTCCCGCTGTCGCTACCTGAACGCCGGAGGCCGGGCTCAGTGCCCGGGGTCGCCTGCTGCTCATTTCAGGTGGCTCCTGGCATAAGCCCCCGCTGCTTCAGATGATGCCACTTCTGGTCCCGGATGTCTTGTTTTGCGTGGTGTTTTAAATGGGAAGCTTTTGAACTTTATTTAAAAGAAAGGCATGCAGTGGGGAGAGGGGTGGAAACCGTGAGGCGTGCGTTCACCTCATCTCTGCCGCATCTGCCCCGAAAGCACAGCATGTCGTTGTCCTGTCAAGGGCAGCGGAAAGCACAGAGCCTGGCTCCCCGACCCCAGGGCCCGGTGGATTCCTGCCTGGGCCGAGCTAGTGACTGTCTGGTGGGGGAGGGGGTGGTTAACGCAATCACGTGGAAAAGTGTCAAAAAGTACAATGCTGGTAATATTCTCTACTTTCCTATTCAAAAGAGGAAAGAAGTAAAGATTTTTTTAAATGCATATTTGGAATGAAATCAGCCACTTCTGCTTCCGTGCCGAAAGGACGTTGGGGGCGTGGCTTGCCGTTCCGAGGATCTGCAGTGAGTGGAAAGGCTGCTGACTGCGTTTCCCACTCACGTTGCAGGTTTGCGGCCTCTGGCGATGTCCAGCGTCACATCATCATCCACTCGGGAGAGAAGCCACACTTGTGTGACATCTGCGGCCGAGGTAAAGCTGTTTCCCTTTTGCTCTCGAATGGTGCGGATGGGAATGTCCTTAGCGCTTCAGCTGAACAGCCGTCTGGCCCCTGCAGGGTTCAGTAACTTCAGTAACCTGAAGGAGCACAAGAAGACGCACACGGCCGAGAAGGTCTTCACCTGCGATGAGTGCGGCAAGTCCTTCAACATGCAGAGGAAGCTGGTCAAGCACCGCGTGCGGCACACGGGCGAGCGGCCCTACAGCTGTTCCGCCTGCGGTGAGTTTCCCACCCACAGACCAGCTGGTCCCTGGGCCGCCCGGGGCGGGCGGGCCGCCCGTCTGCTTGGGCGTCTCGGGTAAACCGTCCCTTTCCTCGCAGGCGACACGGGAGCCATCCTGTTTCCTTACCTCGTCACGCGGTCCTCACTCTGTCACTCCTGCGTTTACGTGTCAGACATTCACTGAGGGCCTTCGAGGCCCAGACCTGGCCTCGGGTGCTCCAGGTGCCCGGATGGCTGAGGCGGAGTCCGGGGGCCGTGCGCTGCTGGTCCGGGTCGCTGGGCGTGGGCCGTTGCGGGTGTAGGAGAGCCTGGGGTGCAGCCCCAGGTGCTCGAGCACGGGGCGCGGGGGCTGCCGGCTGTCACCCTGCTGGAGCATCGGGAGCACGCGACGGGGTCGCGAGAGGGCTTCTTGACATTGTGTGTTGTGAAGCCAGGGTGACTTCTGTGGGCGTTTGACACAGCAGGGTCCTCAAGGGAGCCGAGGGATGCTAACAGCCCCCAGTTTCAGAGTACTTTATTGTACGGACAAGGAAACCGAGTGAAGTCACCTGTTACCTGTCATCGCAGTGTTCCGGTCTCTAAAGAATGTGTGCGTACCTGTGACGAGTACTTGACAGTGTCAATAGAATTGACGTTGGATGAGTGAGGAACCATTTTTTTGGATGAGTGAGGAACCATTTTTTATGGTTTCCTGTTTAGAACAAATGGGGGAAACACTCGGAGTTCAGCTGCGGGAAGCCTGGAATGGGGGCGCTGTTCAGAGAGGCTCATTCAATTGCGATCGGCGTCTAACATAGCGCAGGACTTCTGGGTGTAAACGGAAGACAACTCTGTTTTCATCCCCCAATTAAACTGTACACAGACCGCCTGGATACAGACTTAGGCAACTCCGCGCTATTCCTATCACTCTTAAAAATAAAATTGCATCACTTTAAGTCACGAATGCAGTCTCAAATCACTAATATAAAGTGTCGGTTCCAAATTATTACAACCGTCAGCTTTAAATTTTCTCCTCCCACCACAGCTAGGACTGTCGCTAAGACCCTTGTGGAGGAGGGAGCGAGGCGGGGCTCTCTCTTGCGCAGCCCACGCTGCCCCCTCCCCCACCCCATTGACCGTGGTTTCCGCCCCTGACAGGTCGGCTTGGGGACAAGGGGGAGAGAAAGGGAGCTAGGATGTTGTTTAAAAATTGCGAACCCACCACATAAGAATGTTCTTGCAGTCTACGGCCACGCCACCCTGAACAACCCCGATCCCATCTGATCTCAGAAGCTAAGCAGGGTCGGGCCTGGTTTGTACTTGGATGGGAGACCACCCAGGAAGACCAGGTGCTGTAGGCGGAAAAGAACGTTCTTGCTCCCTTCCTGCTGGTGGGGACGTGCGTTGACCCGAGGGAGAGCGAACGCCTCCCTTGCTCCTCTCTGTGGGAACTCTGCTTGCTATGAGTAAAATTCATACATATTAAGAACCCTAAAAATGGTTTTTCCCTTCTGCCTAGTAATTTCACTATTGAGAATTTATTGTACAGAAAGAATGAAAAAGATGTCAACTGAGCATCAGGTATAGTAGCAAACAGGTAGAAGCAGCCCAAATGTGCATCCACAGGGGAATAGTTACGAAGCTTCTGATCCATAAAATGCCACATATCTGAATAAAATGTGTCGTAAAAACAATACAGCAAACTGCAGAAACGCTTACCGTGGTGTCGAGTGAGGGCAGCGGAGCTTGCCATTGGGCACCGTGTAGAAGCGAAAACACAGAAAGGTTGCTTTGGTGTGTTTCAGTCTTTCGTATGTGGAAATGTGAAAATAATGAGATCGGAGCCACTTTAAAATGGAGCGGGAGCTGCCTTGCAGGCTTAGGCCTCAAATCTTTGGAATGTTAAAACAAGGCAAAGTAACCTTGGGACAGGACTTAAAGTAACATTGTGTCCCAAAGCACTGTTTGCAAAGATAACGAGAAAGCAGATGTTATGGCTACTGGACCGAAAATCAAAAACATTAGAATTAGCGTCACTATGTGATGTTATCTGCGCTGACAGCAACGGCCTCCCTCTGTGGATGTGCCGCTCCCCCTTCTCCTCGCTCGCCCCTCGCCTTGGCCTCCTGATCGGAACACTGTTTGGGTCTCCGCCTGAGTCAGTGCCTCCCAAATAGCTATTCTTTTTTATCTCAAATAAATGTTTGTTGCCTCTCACTTTAAAAGGCCCTTTATTTTTAGGTTACCAGAAAACAAAAAAGGGACCAAAATTTAACCCATGGGCACTGACATCTACTTTTGTTCAAAGGCTTTTTTTAGATAGCCCAGGTTGCTGGGCTAGCTGAGTTCAGACTGAGTTCAGACAGAGTGGCTTACGGGTAGGGTAGAGGTTCTAAAGACATGTGCACATGGTTGTGCCGTTTGTCCTCAGTCCTTGGAAGACGTTATTTATGACTTTTATAAGGTCATTTACTGATTTTTCTCTTCTGTTCTTCCCTGCTCTAATCGTGGAAACGTCCACCTCGATCATGTACATACACAGAGAAAGGAAATGGAACCAGGAGAAATGTGTGTAAAATTATGTTGAAAGCTGACCACATAAGTGCCTTCAGAAAAGATGTTTCTAAATCACAGATTGGCCATGTCATTTTTACGGAAGAGTAAACAGCTGACAGGGGTTCCCAGCATGCACAGCTGGCTGGGAGGCTGGGAGGCTGGGCCGAGATGCCCTGGCCCAGAGGCTGCAGGACTGGGCGGGGGGTGCTGCTGGCAGGCGGCGGGGCTGGGCTCAGCTCCGGGAGAGCCAGCCGCGCAGGGTCGAGAAGGGGCGGCCCCCCAGCATGCCCGCTTCTGAAACGGGCCCTGTTCCTTTCCCAGGAAAATGCTTCGGGGGCTCAGGCGACCTCCGCAGGCACGTGCGCACGCACACCGGGGAGAAGCCGTACACGTGCGAGATCTGCAGCAAGTGCTTCACGCGCTCGGCCGTGCTGCGGCGGCACAGGACGATGCACTGCAGGGCGGGCGACGACGGCCAGGACGCCCTGGCCGAGCTCGCCCAGGCCATCGAGACCTCCGACCTCGAGAAGTCGCAGAGCTCCGATTCGTTTTCGCAAGACGTGGCCGTGACGCTGATGCCCGTGTCCGTTAAGCTCCCCGGCCACCCAGTGGAAGAGTCAGTGACAGAATTTGAGGACCACGCTGCCGGCTCCTACTGCAAGTTCCGGTCCGCGGCTCAGCCCCAGGGCATCAGTGACCAGGACAAGCTCCGCCTGGACCCTGGCAAACTCGCCAAGGCCCAGGGGCAGCACGGGCAGCAGCAGGCCTTTGGCTACGCGGCCCTGGACGCCTCCCCCAGCGACGGGCCGCTGCCGGCCGACGGCATGTCTGGGACCCGCTCGTCTCTGGCCGCGTTGGACAATCACTGCGGCGACCCCCTGGGCAGCCGGGCATCGGCCACAGCTTACAGGAACTCGGAAGGTCAGTTTTTCTCCAGCATGACCCTCTGGGGGCTAGCGATGAAGACGCTGCAGAATGAAAACGAGCTGGACCAGTGAAGCCCGCCCCGGTGCCGGCTCTGAGCCGGGCGGAGCAGCCAGGAGACGGCCACTCCCGGGGCCCCTAAGCCCCCAGGGACACTGGGACCGTGCCCCTCCTGACCTGCTGATCACTGGAAGCCTCCTGAGCCCAAGGTTTGGGAGCGAGGCCTGCGGGCCCACCGTGGACAGACGCCAGAGCGGGGGGTCTCATGTCACAGTAGCCGGAGGCTTGAGAAACCAGCCCGCTGACTTCAGCTGGCATGATACCCGGTGGACTTTGGGTCAACGACTGTACATTTTGGTCATGTTAAAGGGAAAATATATATATGATAATACAAATATTTTTGCATTTTTACATGATTGAAATTTATAGCATTTTGTATTTTTACACAAAGATTTTATTTGTATATGAAACTCATATGATAATTTAATTGAGTGAATGAAAGTTGCCTTTCTATATGTGTGTGTCCTCCGGCATCTTCATTAATCTAAAGGCCATAGCGGTATAAAAATATCAACAAAGGCTCACCCCACAAGGATGGGTACCAGGTTCGGGTTGGCCATCCTGGGACAGTGGCTTCAAAAACCATCAGGACAGAGCCTGAATCCTGGCTGCCACTTACTGGCCCAGTCCTGGGCGAGCTACTCAGCCTCAGCCTCGTTGCTGGGTTCTCCCTTCTACAGCGTGGCTGGCGTCTACCTGGACACTGCCCATTGGGAAGTACCTGCGGGGGTTGCTTGGCAGGGCTTTCTACCGGCCTACGTGAGAGAGAGGGTCATGTCCACAGGGCTGTCGCTAGAATATGAAAGAGATCGAGCACGTGAAAATGCAGTCACCTGTCAGCATGGGGTACTTGCCTATAAACCTGCTTGCACAAAGGACCGGAATGTTTGAAAGCACCCCCAAAAACTGTCATTATCAGCTCTAACTCAGAAAGACAATACAACCAATGAGAAATGTGGGCAGCTGAGGATTTTCAGGGAAGAACGCGGTTGCAGAGTAGAGCATGGAAGTCAGATTCCCGTTCAGTCCCTGGTTTCCCCGCCCATTAACTGCACCGCAGTCCCGCAAGGCCCGGGCAGCCTATCTGACCCCCGCCTCACAGAGGGACGAACCCACGGTCACATGGGCCCAGCAGGCTGCACAAGAGCGTGCAGCTAGGAAGGGCGAGGACGGAGGTTTCTGGGGAACGAACTTGGCGCACAGTAGCGGCACGTGCATGGTGATGGCCCGCCCTCCCACTGCCTCCAGCACCCCGGCCCCAACCGCTCCTCACCCCCACTGGGACCCACAGTCCTTTGATCCACTCGTGTTTCCACGGCCGCTTATGCCCCTCATGTCCCTGTCCACCTCCTTCCCAGGACAGACGCCGTGCCGTGACCCGCCTCCAGCCCCTCCCCAAATGACCCGGCGAACCTCTGCCCCGCCCTCTGTTCTCGCACGTGGGGCGCTGCGCCCGGCTGGTGAGAAACAGCCGTTGTCTGGTTTCTACCACAGCTCACGTCCGATGGGCCCTTAGTGCCATTGCGTGCCCTTCCTCGTGGACCTGGACCCTGCACCGTCCTCGAGGACCTGTCACCCGCTGCTTCTCCAGCCTCCACACGTCCTAGTCCCACCTCTCGCTCACGGTCCTGCTTCCTGTCTCTCCAAGGACACAGAAGCAAATAGGAAGGAACCTCCCTCAAGCTCCCCCACACCCACCAACCGCGTAGATTGCACCCCCATGTAAAATGCCAACCTTCTCCCACCCACCCCTTCATCCCCCGCACCCCCCCCCAGCTTTGTTCTCATTAGGACTCACCACTGTCTCGCCTGCTGGAGATGTTATGTCCCCATCAAGACGTAAGCTCTGGGATTTCGTCTCGTTCACTGCTGTATCTCCAGTGTCGAGAACAATGGGACTTAGATGCTCAGTAAATCATTGTCAAAGGAATGTTCTCGGAACACCTTTCAGTCAAAATATTGGACCTCCTGGTCGATCCTCTAATTTACTCTTCTCTCTGGAACCCTGTTCGACCACGCGACTTTTGTCCCCACTACTCCACTGACACGTGTCCAGGCCTCCATCGCTGACCCAGCGGTCATCTATCAGTCCCCATCTTAGCTGACTCTTCGGCAAGGCTGGTTCAGGAATTAAATGGCCCCCTCCTCCTCCGTGAGACAAGAACCAGAACTTTCTGGAAAACCTCTCCCTCTAGACTCCCCCGGACCCCCTTAGGCGCCTTTCTCTCCTCTCGGCCCACACTTCAAAGCACCCCAGATCAAAGGCCCCGAGCCCTTCCCTGACCTCGCTCTCGCCCTAGGCCATCTCCACATGTCTAATGACCTTAAATGCTATTTGCTCATGACTCCCAAACTTACGTCCCCCCTGGGCCTGTCCCCAGAGCTCTCGAATCCTAGACCCGACTGCCTACCCGTCCTCTTCACCTTGAAGTCCAGTCGACATCAGACTGATCATTTCAAAGCCAAGCTCCGCCTCTCCCCTCCTGGTGCCCACCTCACTAAATGGCACCCCCATTCTTCCAGCCGCTCCGACTAACGACCTCGAGAGTCAACCCACTTCCACCGGCAAACACTTAGGGAGCGCCAGCTGTGTGCCAGGTGCTGGGTTTGCCGAGGCTCAAAGAATAAGACCTGCTTGTGCCGAGGGGACTCTCCTTGAATAAATCTCCCTGATGAGGATGGTAGTTTGTTCTTGTAGAATCCAACTTTAGGAAAAAATTTAAACCAGGCTCTCTTAATCCGTATTTCTGATCTCTCCTCTTTCTCTCCTATCACTCTGCCCGAAGCTCTAACCTAAATAAAGGAAACTTAGAAATGGAGAGAAGGCTGGAAGCGTGCGAATGGGTTTTTGGACAGCAAATTACCCGGCACCGCACCAGCATGTTCTCACGCACAACACCTTCGACACCCAGCGAGGTGGAGCACCGTCTACATCTTGCTGTATTTCCTTCCAGGAAATTTTCCTCTGCAATCAGATACCAATAAATTTACCACTTGGACATGTTTTAATGAGCTCATATCATACATACTTCTTTGCCTTTTCACATAGCAAATTGTCATAAATCGTTTCTTGTCGAAAAAAAAATGTGTGTTGACATTGATGCTTGGAATCCCCGTCTCTTATTCCCATCACATCCCTTCAAGTTGAGGATGTTTGTGAAGAGCCCAGCACAGTTCTGGGCAAATAGCGGGTGCTCCACAAAAATGCCCTTTTTTCTTGGCTTTACCAGAAAATCTGTGGGCCGCTCTGGCTGTTTTGTGTTGGGTTTTCTTCCAGCCAGCAGGTGGCGATATAGCCCCTCACAATAAGCAGAGACGGCCTGGATTACCTGCTTTGCCGCAGCCCTCTGCAGATCACAAAGCACGTTCACCCACCTGAGCCCCGCTCAAACTCCCCAAAAAGCCTGTTGGCCAGGTTGCATTCTCTTCCCCCAGTTTGGAGGAATAAATCCTAAGAAAAGAAGTTGCTTGCTCATTTATTTTTCATCCTCGGTGAGTGCTGACAGCATCCCAGCCTCCAGGGTTACGCAGGCTGTGCCCCGGGAGCACACAGCCTCGGCCTCTGCCCTCACAGCCCTACGAAGAGGCACCACTCAGCAGAGTCAGGACCTCGGCACAGTTCCCGGGGCTCTCCATGTCTCCTCCGTACAAAGGGGCTTAAAAAAAAGCTCTGTCGTGGGTAACCCTTAAAAACATGATGCCAAGTGAAAAGCCAGACACAAAAGGTCACATGTTTTATGATCCCTTTTATATGAAATGCCCACAATAGGCAAATCCATAGTGAAAGAAAGCAGACTAGTGGTTGCCAGGGGCTGGGGGAGGGAGGAGTGCTAATGAGTTTGGGGTTTCCACTTGGAATCCTGGACCCTCAGGAAGAACATATCTGCTAAGAAGAATGCCTTGTGGTTAATCGGATCCAAATTCATAACCAGAGTCTCGCAGCCACCGTTTACAGGGGCATTTCACACACTCTGCACATCAGGAGGAAGCCAGTGACTGAGCCCCCAGCCTCCCGCATTGTGTCCCTGCTGTCTGAGCTGACCGCTATAAAAGAGTTCCTGGAATCGTATTTCAGCCAATGAGCTGAGACCTGCCCCATCCAATTGGAGCTGCACTATATCTTCATTTGCATATTTGCCAACCAATTGGAGTGGCTCCATAATGACAAATCAAAACAGTGCTTTTTGGACCAATCAAACTGTGTGAATTTGGAGTGCTCATTTGCATAGAGATGGACCAATCAGGGACCAGGGGTGGGACTTTCTCTGCATATAAATTAGCCTCCCTTCCTTCCTGGAGAAGCATGTAAATTTTGCCCCGAGTATCTGTTTTCCTCTGCCAGCTGTGAAAAACCAGCCCTGCCTCCATTTCATATTCATTCCAGTTTTCCTGACCTGA